CATAACTTTGTTTAGGTATACCCACATATTATTGAGTAATACAATGATTCTCATTACTTTTCAGCCATACCACGTATTAATTATAATAATAATTTAGAATAATTACCTGTTTTCATCCAAATCCAAATTCAAATTATCATTATCGTTTATTGAAGATGTGTCTGATATGTTAATTATATTATCCAATGTGGTAGTAGGAATAGTGATAGTTTCAATGGGTTCCAAATTGCTACTCTGAATAATATCATTTACATTGTTGTAATTATTCTTTTGTTGTATAAAATAAAGAACATGAATTTTACAAAAAATCAAAACAAATAAACTAGTAAATGGAAAAGTTTGCTAAAAACCTACCAATTCTTTATTATTATCAATATTATCATTGATCTTGTCATCAATATTATTATCAATCTTGTTATCAATATTATCATTGATCTTGTCATCAATATTATTATCAATCTCGTTATCGATATTATTAACAACCTCATCATCAACATTATTATTAATATCATTAACCTTCGTAAATTGAAAAAAAAATAACATAAATAAAAAATGTAAAATTAACAATTCATAAGTAGAAATCTTGACAGATCCTACCTCTTCGTTGCCATTGTATTTTAAATTAACATAATTATTTATGAGCTCTGATGCTCTATTTATAAAATTGATTAAATTTACCAATATATCTTCATTTTCAAGTATTTCTCTCACTTCATCCATAGATACGTCGTGATTGATACTCAATTTATTGATGACTTCTTCTATAATGTTTTCCTAATTTTTTATCATATTACAAAAAAAAAAATCAAACCTTCATTAAAATGAAACATCTAGTATTGTCATTTGAAGAGAATGCAATTCACTTACAAAGCTGGTATACAGTGTGATTCAAAAAAAATGGTGGTCACAAAAATATCACATATCTCAACAATTACACAACATAGTTGAATGAAATTGGATTCATTTGAAAGCTTTATCATTTACTTTATTAAATAATAAAAAATAAACATGAAATGCTATTGCCAATTTTCTCTAAAGCTAATTCATAGATTTTTTTTAGAACTTTGCTAAATTTTTGTCCCTGAAATTTTAACATGGAATTTTTTAATGATAGCTCTGACACAAGCATATACATAATAATTATATAAAAAATCATACCAGTCTATAGCAAAAGTTCTGGAGATTATGTATATAAAGTTTCACACTTCCAGATTTTCTAGAATTTTGTCA